GGATATCGGCCAAAATCCCAATATCGTGCATCCCTAATAAACCTACAACAGCATAACTATATGACAGTAGTGGGAGGCACATGCGTTATAAGGTAAATAAGTTATTCAAACCATGTGGTAATCAGGCTACGGAAGAGGATTAGGGCCACATGAAAAAATAAATAAATAAATAACAGATTTTTTAATTTTATTTGATTTTGATATGGGAGAAAAGTTTCTGAGATTAAAGTCCAAATTTAAATGAAATAGAAAATCAGCTAACTTTCTTTTCCGATTGGCCCTAATTGTCTTCTGTACAGGTAATTAATTTAGTTAGAAAGAAAAAAAGACTAGATTAAAAACTACATTTACATTGTATTCACATCCTGCTTTGTAGTCCAGGGCGGAATGATCAGCCGCTTTATGCAGCCGTTATGCATTAGCTGTCTCCTCTCTGCTGTCGTTGCTCTGACTGCATGCAGGGCTTCAGGACGAGGCAGCAGCCTGTGAGATCTGCGCTGGACCCATCAGCTAGCTTCACTGCAAAACAGACAGGAGCCGCTGGTTTTGGTTTTTAAAAATTGAAATACATTTTAACCTTTCATGATATCTAGATTCATTTTAAACTCTGAATCCTTTATCATATACTTTACAACATTTTAACATATTTTTCTTATGAATTCTGATGGTGTGGAGCCTTTTATTTTGCCGTTACCCTGATATAATAGTCTGGGTGTTAATATTTCAGCAAGAGAACTGCATCAAGCTTGATGCATCCTCAGTGTGTTTTAAGGTCACAGATTCAAATATGACTCTAAAGGTGATTCATAGGATGTAAAGTTTGCATGAAAAAGAATTCAAACGATGCCCGACTCTCTGTGGCTCTAAAACAGACTGTTAAATCTCTCTCATGAAAGCATTTCCTTCTCTCAGCCCACTTCCTAAACAAAGCACACGGCAGGTGGATGTGGGAAAGTGACCCCATGGAACGCTGACAGCGAGTGGATTAATAAAGAGGCAAATGGAATGCAAAGCCTGTGAAATGAGTCCGGTCGGACTTCTGGGAACTCAGCTGCATCCTCATTTAAGGCGGACCTGATATTTATAACAAAATGTAATTTCCTCTTCTGATGCACTGATGCTGAGGGTGTTTTTGTGGTTTGTTTCTGCTCCCCTCTCACTTGTCCTACCAGGCGCTTTGTATGCCAAATACAAGTGGGAACAGGCATTCAGACATGTGTGACCTGACCTCCTGTCCAGGAGTTCACCTGTGATGTACCCATGTCATTCCTGCTAGAATGCCACATTCCTGAATGGCTGCAGTCATGCAAAGACACATTCCTCCTGCCTTTTCACTGTCAGCTCACACAGGTTGCTTCTTTTGCTCATAAAGCTGTCAGAAAGAAAAAGAGAAGTGATGAGTGTTTGAACAAGAGGTTTGGAAGAAAAAGTCGGTCTAATACAGTTGGAGGTGTAGCAGGGCTAACATCCTGTGTTATGGTGATTGTTTCCTGTGGTTTTGTAGCTGTCGGGGCCCCTGTGTCCCGCTTTCTTCTGCGATCACAGATCTGTTTCGTTCACCATCCAAACCCCACAGCGGGGATGTCTAGCGGTTCCCAGAACGCCGCCTTGGTCTCGCCTTCTGCTACTGGTGTAATTAGTAAAGTTTGCCTCGGCGTTGCTGTCCCCGTCGCTGTCTTGGCTGGGCTGGCACGGCGTTCGCAGCCCGTCACCGTTAATGAGCCTGTGCACAAGGACGCAGAGCTGCTAGGAGACCTCGCACACCTCCAACTTTAACACGCCATTAGACGATTAAGGAGGACGGCGGGGTTCTGTAACATCACAGCTGAGACACTACTATTAATTAGTGTCACGAGAGAGGAACAGTTTTGCTCAAGCGCGTTACTACAAAGGGATGTGATCTCTTTAGCTTGTCACTGAAGCACTAAATGTTTTTTTTTTTATTCTTTCCAGGGAGAAGCTTTGAAAGCGCAGAGGAGAGGAAATGTTTCGTGGCATCATGTGATCTGCGCATTCCCCTGGCGAGCTTCTGAAGTGGAAGAGGGAATCTGCACACTTGTGAAAAGCATCCCAGCCACTAGCAGGCCCTTATCGCCGCGATCACTAGTCCCGTTTGCTGCCATCAAAGCCTCGTCTGCGTGACTCGACTTGCCTCTTTCTCGACCTTCGTCTTAAAGATAAAGAATAGCCATGCTACTTCCCCGGCCCTCCAACGCCTCCTGCAAACACGGCCTTTGAGCTTGCTGAACAATACGTGAGAAAGGAGGCATAAAAGACCTTTTTATATTCCTGCTGTGTGTCTTTTTTCATGTTTTTGTCCACAGTAAGTCATCCCTGAAGACAAACACACACATTCTGCCTGAACAAACAGGATTTTTGTTCTGGTGACTTCTACATCAGGTTTTCTTTTTCTGAACTTTTTTAACCTGAGGAGGATTAATTTATAAATGTTCTTTCTGACCGTCTTTGGGAATACCTGCTGACTGAGCTTCTCTATGGGGGATTAAATCATCCCAGGAACTGTACTGACTCCTCTGCTCAGTCACATCCTGTTGACTTCATCACTGAGCTGTTTGTGAGCGAGCCATCATGGCCGGGAAGGGCAACCCGGTGCCAGGCGGACACCTAAACGGCTTCCCCATGCCCGCCTACTCCTACTTCTTCCCCCACATGTTGGGGAGCATGTCGCCTCCAGCGCTTTCAGGACTCCCCATCAGTGGATACAGCACCCCCTCTCCAGCCAGTAAGTCAACCTTTTTACCATTTTTTCATTTGGTTTTGGGTTTCAGTTTTTTATCGTCTACAGACTCCAGAGCAAGTTGCTTCTTGAATGACATTGCGGCTGTTAGAGATTTACTTTCTTTTTCTGGGTGTGTGTGTCAGTAGAGGGCCTCGCTGAAGTATTCCCAATCCATTTCTCATCCATTTTTTTTTTATTCTATATGAAGGCCGAGGGATGCAAAACTACACGGCCAACTCAAAACTTAAACTGACACAAAAATCTGAGAAAATATTGCGACAGATAAATACTGAGATCAAAGATGATGGTGTTAGGATAATTATCATTGATCATGTGTGTGTTCATTACACCTTAAGATTAGCTGCCTGTTGCGTATCAGAACTGATGTTTTCCCCCATAGTTTATCTAATTAGGTCAGTTCCTCAGTCCGGCTATATACAGTTATAATCTTCATTCTGTGCATGGCAAAGATTAGAGAATGGAATGAAAGCGGTGTTGTTCTAATATTTTGATAAGGCTGGAGCCATGGATGCCTCCCCATCTGCAAACGTGTATGATGTAATGATGTAATGATGTAATGATGTAATGATGTAATGATGTTGCAGACTGGAGTTGTATAAAATGCTTCTTTAACTGTTAATCGTGGCCACTTCCTGAGAAGTGAGCCCGGTTGGTAAGCCATTGCATTCTATAACTCTAAGCCACGTGTCTGATCTGAGTAAGATTGCAATTTCTATCTAAATCTGTTGTCATGTCGCATGGTTTTATAATACATATAAGTTATGAAGTGTTATTTAAAGAGTTTGTCTCGAGGGATCTCTTTTCACAAAAAAGAACCGGAGAGAAACAGGTTCAAGGTGCAGACACAGAGTTTTCCTTTAATAATGGGAAGCAGCAGCGTTTAAACATGTTTTTTGTGTTCATTTTTGTGTTTGTGGACATTTTTGGATTTGCAGCACATTTCCCCCCCTCTGCCACTATCATTTTGGTGAAGGAGAATAAGCCAGTATTTATGGTTTACACATCGAGGGACTGAAAACAGCTCAAGCTCAGACAGATTAGACAGACAGGGTATCTGAACATAAACAGATATTTAATTGATTTACCTAGATGATTTAAACACTTCGATCTTAAGCCTGATTGGTTGTTTCTCCCTGTATTCTCCCTGTTCCATCTTTTAGATGTCCTTTAGGTTTATTAGTATTATTAGTTCCAAAAAAGTTATAAAACAATCCACTGGACTTTGTTTCCACGTTTGTAGACGTTTCTCTTCCATCCAGGAGGTTTTTCAATTCAATATGTCAGAAATAGCGTTGAGTTTGAGGTTTTATACAGGAGCCCAAAAAGCTTTGTTTTTGTTTAGAAAACAAGCAAATTGAAACGGACCAGTGGGTCCACCCCTGTGGAATGGGGGTCGTTTGGAGTCTTTGTTAGCCTGCAATGCCCCATACCTGTCTATGTCTCTGAAAGGGGGGTCGTTAAAGGGAATTGTTGGCCTGGCTGAATAGGCGAGGTGTTCTGTTCCTCTGTAAAGGGGCTGCGATGATAGCAGGAAGGGATCAACTCAATTGCTGCATTTTTATTTTTTTTTAATCTGAGTCCCCCCCCTCTGTTTAAGGTTGTTTTTTCTTTCTTAACATAGATGGCTTCCTTCACGCCCCATTCAAACCGCCTGTCTTCTTTGTCTAAAATGGGACATTCAACAGAGTGTCCTTTGTCCAGCAGTATTATTAGTATTTTTTTATTTCTGTATTTCTAGAAGGTCGCTGCACGTTAGAGTAGCTTTGCTAGCCTGACTCTGCTATTCTAATTTACCAGAACTTTAGTTTCTCCTTTTGTGGATCACCTATGAGTTACTGCAACATTTAATTTTACTTTAGGATTAATAAAGTACTTTTGAACTGAACAGAGTTTTGAATTTACCCAGAGATGCAATGAGTTTACAGCCACCTGGTGACACGGTAATGTAAAGCTGAGTGTTGTCATCATATTGGTTCACGGTTTCGTGGTCACGGTTTTTGGTTCGGTTCAGTATATGTTGATTGTTAGCCTGACATGTTGGTCATGTTGCTGTTAGCATAAACAACATGTGTTGCATAATGCTTGCACACTGTTGCACTTTTATCCACAACTTTCTTTCCGCCATCATCGTAGGTCACTCTAAATGCAAAGTGGTCCCATACAGCAGACCTATAAAGTGCTGCTGGCGCGTCTTCCAACTCCTGTTCTTTCCCACTCGCCATACCCACACAATTCTCCACAACAACTGATTTTTTTCTGCTACACCCGGCTACGCTGCTTCGCTTCTTCTTCTTGTTTACTACTGGCGGTTGGCTTTGGTCGCAGTACCGCCACCTTCTGCTCTGGAGTGTAAACGCTTCGCCTATGGGAAAAAGGAGCAGCGCATGAACCGAACGAAACACACGCGAACCGAACCGAGACGGTTTTCATAAACCGTTCCCCCCCTAGCATGTAGATGTTAAATAGGAGGGGCCCAAAGATTGACCCTTGGGGAACTCAACGTGTTATTTGTGTGGTCCTGTTGCAAAGTGAACCTGCTGTTACAAAAAGTACCTTTCCTCCATGCAGGGTTGAATCCAGTCAGTCTAGGTGACTGGCTGATCCGTTGTGGCAGACATGCTGCTCCAAATACCTAAAAATACAATTACAAAACAGTTCATTGCAGACACAGAAGCAGATTCGCTTCGTCAAGGGAAAGAAAGCAGATCAGATCGAGTTACATTTTCAACTTGTTCAGCTCCTTGATGGCAGACGGCACAAAAGAAGTTCTTTAAACATTTTTCTTGGCACAAAGGAGCTCAAAGTGACGGGAAAGTTGACGGCTATCGTCATCTGTGATCTTATGACTGACCCGATGCACTGCTTTACTGTAATGCTGAGACAAATTGATTTGTTGTTGGCCTGTAAGCTTACTGCCCTGTTTAACAATGGTAAATGTCAGCACACTCTCTACTCTCAAAAATCAGAGTCACATCAACGATCACCGCTCTTCCTGCTTCCACAGCATGGCTTCCAAACAGCAACCTTTCCGTCATGTAAACCTTAGTCAAGTATAGCTATCCAGAATGCATAAAGGTACAATTTTAAATGTTATTAAACCAGTGAAATAGCTTTCTATTAACCTAATCTGTTTCTTTAAACAATGATATAACATGTTATCCATCAGCCTATATTAAAAGCCATGGTGGGCTATGAGAGTAACAGTCCCAAAGCATGATGCTGCCACCGCAGCGCTTCCCTAAGAAAATGGTGCATTTAAAGGGATCAGATGCGCACACATCATTTAGGATGTTCACTTTTGGGCTAATCTGACCATCATCTGGCTTTCCTGCCATAAAATGCAGATTCTCCCACCTGGGCTGCTGGATTTATTCGTCCAGTTCAATTTGCATGTTTTCAAACCAAAAAAAAAGTTTGGTTTTGGTTTTGTTTTACTTTTTTGGAATTACTACGACCTGGATGACTGAGAATCCTAACCAGCATATTTATTCGAAAGGAAAAATGCATAATAGGAGACTGTATTTCCTAATTAGATGACTTCATGATGGCTGGATGCCCTGGATTTTCTGTTGGTCGCATCAAATTCTTGTAAAACAATCCAAATATATCTAAAAAATGTGAGAAAGTCCTGGAGGTCTACCTGCTTTAGCACAGCGCTGTGTGCTTGTGAGGTGCTCATATAATTCCTGTTTTGAAAGATGTGTGTGTCTGTAAACAGAGCCACACACACCGCGAACAATGCCGCCTCAAGCGCTGTCCTTAATTTACAAACCCACACACACATCAGTGCTCAGACACATGGAAATTTCAGCAGAGATCACAAGGAAATGAGGCTGGACAGTCAGAGAAGCACATTGTTTGTTTGGGGAACACAGTTTGAGTAGTCCTAAAATACATTTCACAATTACTCTCATCGTGACTGATGGTCACGCAACAGATCTTTTTATATGAGCTGCGAAAAGCTTTAGAACTGACTTGCTAAAACCGGGTGAAAGGTGCTCTTTCATAAGAGCAATTTCTTCCTCCGTTTAATGTTTGGCAATCACCTGCTGGTCTCCCTGCAATCAGTGAAACTTTAACACATCCAGATTGAATCTTAGATCCTGTCTCAGGATAAGGTGTGTTTGATGACGGAAGATTCAGCTGTGTAGCTTCAGGACTCAAACCTGGGTTGACCACCGTATGTGGCTCATGTGCTCTGCTGCTGCACCGCGCCTCAGGCCACACTTTTCAGTAGAGATTAGCATAAACAGGTTTTTTAAGGCCAAAAAAAATAATTATCCTGCTGCTGATTTTTAGGGCTGATTCCTTTCTGCAGATATTGTATTATCTATATCATCCTCCTCCATTTATGTAATGAAATTATTTGAAATATATATGGAGGAGTGATGGCCTAGTGGTTAGGGCATAGAGCTTGGAATCCTGAGGTTCTGAGTTTGAGTCCCACTCCCACAGATTAACATTCTAGGTCTCTGAGCAAGACCCCTGACCCCCGATTGCACCCCGGTCACCCAACGATGGCAGCCCGCCGCCTCCCCAAGGGAATGGGATAAATGCAGAGGTAAAGTTCTCCAATGTGAGATCAATAAAAGTTCCATTATTATTAATTTTATATACTTTACACAGAAGAAACATGTATTAGCAATTTAAATAAAGCTATTCTAATAGCAGTAATGTTCGTTTCTACATTAGGTTTGTTTCTAGCAGGAGGATTATTGGTGAAGCACCACTTCCATCCTCCGTTTCCCTTCATTTGTACAAATAACAAGACAAGACCAAGGTTCCAGAAATCTATTTATCATAAAGCTGTTGGTGTTTTGTTTTTTTTGTTTTTTTTTGCTCAGAGGTCCGCTTTTGTTTTGCCCCCTCAGTCCAGCTGTTAGCTTCGACCTGTAGGACCAGCTCATCAGGATTTACGCTGAATGAAGACACAGAAAGGGTTTGTTATTTCAGCTTAGATAACTGCATTTAAGCTTTCCACA